TCACAGATGCTGCCAGACTTGCTGAGCTTTTCTAGCAACTTCTGTTTTTATTGCCTTTTTTTAAGTTGTCCACTTCTAGGCTTCCCGCTAAAAGCTACCCAATTCTCTGGCTTCCCACTAATCTTCACATTGTATGCTTTTTCTTTTGCTTTTATGCTGACCCTGACATAGATGCCTTCATCCTCCCCTTACTATGTTTTGTTTCCTTGAGCTGAATTTGTGCTGTGCCTCCTGAATTACTCCCAGAAACCCCTGCCGTTGCTGCTGTACATGGTCCCTGCTAGGCTTCCCTTCCAATCAGCTCTGGCCAGCTCCTCCCTCCTGTCTTTACAGTTCCCTTTTCTCAATTGTAACACCGTTATGTCTGATTGCAGCTTCTCCCTCTCAAACGGCAGGGTAAATTATGTTATGTTGCAGTTACTGCCTCCTAGGGGTTCCTTTGCTCTAAGCTCCCCAATCAAATCTGCCTCATTACACATTGCTGACGTAAGGAGAATTTTCTGGGTAATAGTGTTATTTTCTATGCCATGACGTATTAGTTGACAACTCAGCAAAAATAAAAGGAGATAAGAATTGCTCCTTGACCTTTACAGTTTAAAAAGAAATCAAATGAGCACCTTTGTTAAGATATGGAGAATATTGAGCATTTTTCTGAGCTTGTGCCAGCTGTACTCATCTGCTTTAAACTTTTGTAGTTAACTCCCCAATGGCTTAATTCAATGCTGTGCATTTCAGGAAGATCCCATGTGAAATTTGTACCTGTGTTGACTGATGCCATGGGAAATGGTGAAGGAATGGTGCCTTCCCCTCCTCAAGTTAAGGAAGGGCAAACTGAACCATTTATTCCTGAAATTTGGAGATCGTGGATGTCAGTTAAGACTGGTGCACAGCTTCAACACTGTCCTCAATGGAGTGGTATGATAACACTCACTAAGCTGTGCCGCTTGAAATCTAACATCCTTTGAAACCTGATCCCAGCGCAAGCTAGTGACTTCAAAGGAGAAAGGCTAAAGAAGAAATGACTAGGTTTGCCATGTACATTTTTTCAAAAGACTTGACAGTGTCAACAACTGATGAAAGTACTGATTTTTTTAAACGGATAAGCTCCCTCGTCTGTACATGAGAAGAAAATAAAATTATCCATTGGAATAACCTTTTTTTTTAGTGAGGACTGACTTTGTTAATGAGTATGTTAAGGATGATTTCAATCTGTCTCCCGCTATGTTGAATTGGTATGAGATAAATTGACTAGTTTAGTTTAAAGCTGCATTATACTTAATGATGCTTTTCATTTTTACCAGTTTTTCTCATATGTATATATTCTTCCTAAATTGAGTTTAGGCATGTGCACCTACTAATGTTCTATTAGTATGTGTACTTTGTGTACATTATCTGAACGATTCAGTTATTAGTTCCTGAGGATATACCTATGCCAATTCTTGCAGGTTTACAAGTACAGTCTACTCCACTTACCTATAAGTGCATACCTCACTTAAGTGTCTTATAATATTCTGTTTTAACAAACCAAAGTTTCCCCCATTTCATAGGGAACCTGTGGTGTTAAACTCTGTGAATATTACAAATAATTTTTCTTAACTGTGACCCTTAAAGATGTGTAAAACATAGATAAATGGCCCCAATTTTTACTGCTGTGTTACTCTGTTCAATATAGTTCAGGCGATGTAAATGTCTTGATGCTTTCCTAAAATGTTACTGTATGACATGCTGATCATTTTTTAAACACGTACCATGATGTACACAAATGTGTGTTCTTCAAAATGTATTCTAAGGATAAGTGTGTACATGTCCTGGGAACTCACTGCACTAGCGAAGCCCCTAGTGTGACGCTTTACATTCAGGCAATGAAAGACTAAGTTAATGTGCACAGTTTTCTTCCCTCTGCAATGTTGTACTGTACTTCTACAACTAATGATTTAAGTGAGGAATTGGAACATGTTTTTACTATAATGCAGCTTTAAAATCTTAACAGCTGACGCCTATCTTTTCTCCAACACGCTTGCTTATCCATTCTTACAGGTGTAGCAATGATGCAAATAGTCAGCTGCCCGTATGTAAAGACAGTCACTACCGCCAAGAATGGTAATGTTTTATCTTGGTCCTTTCTGTCTTAATAGTGGCATGATATTTGAATGTTATTTATTTCAGCTGTCCAACTCAATACCTATTCCCAAACCTCTGGCTTTATTTTAAGATAGCATTATATTCCACATACAAACAGTCATCACTTTGGGGTCTTTGTTCGAAGCAGCTTGGATAATACCATGCTGTGCAGTACCCAGTGTTGCTGGAGGGAAGCTTATATGTGTAGATTCCCAACTGGATTTGCTTGTTTTATGTTCTATTTTTATTAATTTGTTTGTGCTTTGTAATTCATCCTTCATCCACTTAGCTATGCTATCTGTGTTGAGCAGTGCTTGTGTGTGCAAAACCCGTTTCCTCCTGCATAGTAGTCATTTTGTATGCATGCCTTTAGGTGCTACCCATAACCTGCCTCAGTAACTTTGTTCTGCCATTTCTTAAAAATGTTTTGTTTGCTTTGCATTTGTTTTTTAGCCTAAACAACACGATTCCAATTTGAAAGAAAGAAAAGTTTTGCCATTTTTATGGTGTGGTTACTTAGGGTTGTGGGGCGGGCTGGGGGTATTTTCAGCTCTTGTGTCTAACTGAGCAAAAGCTTTTGGTGTCAGAAGTTGGAGGTGTCACTCCTGAACTTCTGTATATCAAGGTGCCGTTTTGTCACTATTTTATCCAATATTTTAAATCTCTGGTGAACAAGAAATCTCCAATCTCTCTGGCTTGTATAATCCTGCATAGGAAGAAATAATTTCCAGTCAAATAATTCCAGAATTCTCAGCCTTTTTTATTTAGCCCATTTGTTTAGTTTCCTTCTATGGTGGAGTATCATGAAGCAACAGGTTGCTGTAATGCAGAAGGTTTTCCTAGAATGGCATTGAAGAATACTAGATCATATGTCCTAAAACATCTGTTATGTTGGGCACCATAGCACTTGCTGACTTTGAAAGTCCATCAAAGCAGGAAGTAGTCCCTGATCTTTGTGAACCCAAAACATGTAACAGTGGATTGTAATGATCCTGTACATGAGCATAGAGTCTAGAGAACTCCCGTATTACAAATAGTAAACTATGTGCACGAATACAGATGAGGGAAGGTTTGTTTTATCATCTTGAGTACAGGGCCATGTAAACTTTTGCACAAACAGTTAGAATAATTCATATTCAATACTACATGTAGGGAGAGAAATAAAAAGTTTTAAGCTTCAGAATTTGACTGGTGATCAACATGCTTTTCAGTCTAATTGTAGAGATCTTGGAGATCATCAGAAGAATGAAACGAGATGAAAACTCATTAACTTTCACAATGATTGAGAACTGATCTTTGATTTCTCCCATGAAATTTAGTCAAGTTTGAGATAATGCCCAATCTAGTTTTCCAGTTATTCCACAATAGTATTTTCTGACTGGTGCCATTTTTGGCTATCTTTTGTAGCTTATGCACCTTTTGAATTGGATTTCGGAGAGTGGGCTGCTGACTGTGCAGTGTTAGTTCCTTTTGAAAATTTACATGTATGAAATGATTTGGAGGCAAATGAAAATTAGAAATGATGCATGACAAAATACAATTAATTTTTGTCCTTTGAACAGCTATAAATAAAACACTTGTTAGATTGCAACTTAACCATTCATACAGTACCTTCAAATTCTGATGCACCATCTGCTTTTCTCTCAATGATCAAAAAACTAATTGTGAAACTACAAATTAAAATGAAGGCAGAGGTCTCATTTTAATAAATGAAAGTATATGTATGTGTAACACTTAAATTGCATTCTTGGGATCTGTTTTTGAAGATTAAGTAGTATTTTTGGTCTTTTTTTTCCAGAATGAAGTGGCAAGATGAAACCTGTAGAATGAAATGACGTGAGAATCTCTGCTTAGTTTGGAAATAAAGCAGTCTAGCAGCGTAAATAAAAATGGTGGTCATTTAAAAATTCATAGTAATTCTTTATTGTTTTGTTGTGATGTTTTTAGCGTTTTAACAAATATTGTTAAGCAGACCTAAGTTTGCTTCGAGCTTTACAGGAACAAGCTAGTTTGCAATTGCCCTTGAATAATGTTCAACTGCCTCGCTGTCAAGCTACATACGGAGATTCTGATGTGTCATTTCATTCTGCATGTTTCATCTTGCCATTTGTGGAATGAATCTTAAAGCAGTTATTCACACCGATACATATTTGTGCAGATTGAATGGAAAATGTGATTAGACTGAAAAAAGCAATGAAAATTGAGGGAGCAATATCTAAAACTTGATTTCCATCTGAATGAACTTTTACCACAGCAATTTCCTTTTTCAACAAGAGATTTTATTTGGAACTAAATTGATTTTACAGCAGCAATGTTACGAGGAGCAATTTCTTCGTAACGACTGAATCCTGCTAAAACCAGCAAACTAACAATTATCCTGACGGCATGCGCTAGTCAAACAAGAAATTGATTCAAGCCCATTAGTGAGAAGAGATAAAGCTGTGGGGAACAGAGAAGATGATTTTTTTTTGTAAATACAAATATACAGGCTGTCTGCCTGTTACATTTTATTCAGGGGTGGGTAGTACAACTGAAATTTTGATCATAAACTCATGAGATTAATCACTTTGTGGTTTATTTCTTTTTTTTCTTTATCTCTAACTTAAGACGTAGCCACAGTGGTGTAACCTGAACCTACTGTGTTCCTCTTTTCAGGTATGCTACCCGGAATGGCCCCACCGATGGTGCCCATGTTGCCTCCACAGGTTACAATTGCTTCTTCAGTTACCCTTCCTGGAGGTATCCCAGGCTCCGAGTGGACAGAATATAAAACTGCCGATGGGAAAACCTACTATTATAACAATCGGACTTTGGAATCCACCTGGGAGAAGCCACAGGAGCTCAAAGAGAAAGGTAACGATTGTAAATTAAAAAAAAAACGCTTTTGCCCCACAGATTTTTTTCCTTGCACACTTTGCAAGAAATTGAAACACTGGGGGCATTGTAGTCTCTTTGCAAGGACCAATGGGCAGCAGTGATGATCAGGAATGCTGGATGATTTTTTTTTTTCTCAAACTTGGGACACTGAGACCAATAATTACACCATCAGTTTCTGAGAACATCTGGCCTATATGGCTTCATGATGCACAACCTTGAACCTTTATTTCAGCTCTGTTTCTGCTGCCAGTCAATATAGGGTTCCAGGTCAGTGAGAGAATGGTTTGATTCATTGCAATTTGTACAATGCCCTCAATATAAGAATTGAGGATGCCCTTTTCCTATTACTGGCACAGTTACTGTTAAGGAAAATTCACTGTTTCATTTTTCTTGGCATCCTGGGAATATATGTACTGGTCAGTGATGATACGCTGGCTCCTTGAGGCTAGCTGTGAGAGTCTATCCACAGGCAAAAACAAAATGACAGCGTCAGTGGAAAGCGATGGCATTAATTTTTAACTATATTTCATTGAATGTTTAATTGTACTCAGCAGGTGGGGACTCATGCATGCATATAATGAGTGACATTGTGCAGTGATAGTGTGCTTCCCTCTGAGCCAAGAGACCCAGGTTCAAGTTCCACCTGCTCCAAAGGTCTGTAATAGCATGTCTGAACAGGTTAATTAGAAAATGTTCATGCATGTTATGGGTCTTTTGTGACACAGTCATAGTGTCTATACCTCTGAAGTAGAAAGCCTGGGTTCAAGTCCCAGGTATGTGCCATATCTGCCTGAACAGGTTGATTAAAAATATCTTCATGCTTGTTCTGGGGCTCCTCTGGTGCAGTGGTTATGTCTCTTCCTTTGAGCCAGGAGGCCCAGGTTCAACCCTCACCTGCTCTAGAGTTAACCTTTTAATTGGAAGATATTTCACCAGAACTGAGAAAAGTTCAAAATGTAATGGGTTTTAGGTTAGTGAAAGTGGGGCACGTAGGACAAAGAACAGAAGCAAAAATTATTATACGTGGAAGCCAGGATATAATAAATCACAAATAGGTTGCTGGTCCAAGCCCAAAGGGTTTCATGATGGACAGTTTCTTTCAACTTTACAGGGAAGTGGTGAATGACGGAGTGGTGAACAACTACCATCCAAAAGTAAAACAGAGACAGAAAGGAGAGTTAAACCAAAATCTGCAAAGAGGAAGGAAATGAGGCAGAGGTTGTAGCCTTAAATTATTGAACTTTTAGTCCAGAAGGCTGTGAAATGTAAGCTTTGAAGATGAGGTGTTGTTCCTCAAGCTTAGACTGAGCTTCATTGGAACACTGGAGGTGGATGAGGCTCAGATATTAGTGTGAGAGCGAGTTAAAAAAGCAAATTGACCAGAAGCTCAAAGTCACTCTTAGGGACTGAACCTTCCCATGGCTAAATGTACCCTCGGCCTTGCCCATCCCACTTCATGCACCATAAGAGTAGAAGAAGACCATTTGGCCCATTGAGTCTGCTTTGTCATTCAGTGAGATCATGGCCGATTTAATAATCCTCAACTCCATCTTCCTACCTCATCCTTCTTTTCCCTATTTCCCTTATCGATTACAAAACAGTCTCTCAGTCTCTCAGTCTTGAATATTCTTAACAACCCAGCCTCAATAGTTTTCTATGATGAAGAATTCCACAGATTCACTACTGTCTGAGAGAAGACATTCCTCCTGGTCTGATGTAAATGGGGAAACAATCTTTCCACATGTATCATATATCTCCTGTCATTCTTCTAAACTCAATGAACTGAGGCCCAACCTACTGAACCTCTTCTCATGAGAAAACCCCTCTGTACGCAGAACCAACCCGGAGATCCTTCTCTGAACTGCATCCAATGCTACAGTCCCTTTGCTTCTCTTAAGGGCCCAAAACTGTTCATGGGTATTCCAACTGTTGTCTGACTAAAATTTATAGTTTTGGCAAGACAGCTCTCTTTGTACTCCGTTCCCTTAGAAAGAAAGGCCAACAGTCCATTTGCCTTTCCTGTTACTTAATGAACTTGTATGCTAACCTTTTGTGATACGCACGAGAACTCTTAAATCCCTTTGTACTGCAGTTTTTTGCAGTTTTTCCTCATTTCAATAATATTCAGCTTCTCCATATTTCCTGCTGAAGTGCACAACCTTGCACTATTCCACATTATATTCCATCTACCAAGATTTTGTCTACTCCCCTATACCTGTTATATCTCCTTGTGAACTCTTTATTTCATCCTCATAGTTGTCTTCCACCACTTCTGTGATTTGCGAACTCAACAATAGTACGTTTACTTCCCTCATCCATGTTGTTCGTATATATTGCAAATAATTGTGGCCTCAGTACTGATCCTTGTGCCACTCCACACGTTGCCATTGTGAAAATGCCCCCCTATCCCACTCTGATTTCTGTTAGTTAGCCAATCTTTTGTCAATGTTAGTGTCCTCCCCCAACACCATGGGCTGTTAGCTTATTAAGAAGCCTAATATGTGGTACCTTATTTAATGCCTTTTGAAAATCAAAAAATATTACACCGAATTATTCTCCTTTACCTTTCATGCTTGTTACCTCTTCAATGAAGTCTTCATTAGTTTGTCAAACATGATTTCCCCTTCATGAAGCCAAGCGGACTCTGCTTGATTATATTGTGTCATTCTAAATGCTATCCTGTTAACTCCTTTATGATAGAACCCAGCATTTACATCATAACGTTTGAGAGTCTAAAACTATTTTCTTGTGTACCATTGTTCGTCAACTGTCTTTACTGCTAAACTTCTATCCGAGTCCAATCCAGCCACCTCTGCCCACATCACTTTGTAATTACCTTTGTTAAAGTTTAGCACTGTTGTTATTGAACCAAGTTTCTTGTTCTCAAACAGAGTATGCAATTCTACCATTCTGTGGTCACTGTTCACTAGAAAATCTTTTACCCTGAGATCCTTTATTGTTGGTGTTCTCATCCCTTCCTACCCAGAATCTTGATGAAGTTCCCTTTACATCCATCTTCCAACCTCCAACCTCTGTATTCAACAGATTCCTGCCATCCTACCACTTCTTTAATGAGACCATTACCAAATATATTTTCCCTTCCCCTTTTCACAGTTTTAACAAGACCATTGCCTCCATGTCAACCTGTTGGATTCCTCAGTCATTCCAACATTGCCCCCTCATCTTAAGGCATTTTCCATGCTTTTCCATTCCCAGAAGAAGTGATATCTATCGTTTCATATTATCTGTCCCCGCTGTACAAGGCCCCAAACACTCCTACCAGGTGCAGCAGTGTTTTGCATATACTAGTTTTATTTTAGTTTATTTTTCAACAGTTCTATCTGCTTTACATTGGTGGGACCAAATGCCGATTGAGTGACTACTTTGAAAACCACTTCTGTTCAATCCACGTGCATGGCCCCAAGCTGCTGGTCCCCTGTGATTTGCCTATGGATCGATCTCTATCTTGAGCATGCTGCAGTATTGTAATGAATTTCGAGGAAGAGCACTTTGTCTTTCATCTGGGTATCTAACTTAGCATAGATTTAGCACGCATATCGGAAGTTTCAAAGTGAAACCTCTGCCCTGTTTTGCTTCTGTTTCCTTTGAAGATTTTGATTTTATTCTTGATTCTTCTCCTGGTCCTGCTTTTAGACAGCAGTTGATCATCATTCTGCCATTCACACCACCTTTTGATACATTTTCTTTCTTGCCTTGTCTCGTTATCCCTCCCTTTTTGCCTTGCACCACAGCCTTTTCTGTCATCTTTTCTGTCTTCCAAATTAATTGGAATATATTCTAGATCCTCTTCTACCGTTTCTCCCACCCCACCAACTCTCTTCACTTCCCTACAACTTATCATGTTTCTAAATTTTCCTCATTCTGGTAAAAGTTAATTGACTTGAAACATTAACACTGTTTCTCTCTCTGCAGTTGCTGCCAGACCTGCCTCATTCCATCATTTTGCGTTTTTGTTTCTGACTTGCAGCATCTGTAGTATTTTGCTCTTGTATAAAAGCCAAGTGCCAGCTTGACCCTGTTCTTTTGCCTCTGGGTTCAGCAGGAACCCCACTAATTGGTGTCATTAGTATTGTGACGTAAATAAATTTTGGGTTACCGTCTTGACTAAGTTGGCATTGATGTAATTTCCAGACAACTTTAAGATGCTTTTAAATCATTTATAATTGCACATCTGTTTTTGAAACTCAGCATTACAAGTCTTGTAATCGACTTTGCAGATTCAGTGTTAGCCGAAAATCTGGAGGAGGGAAATGTTTTTGTTTTCAAATGGAGCTTTTCGTATTCTTTGAAATTCAAATTACCAAGTTCTTGGTGCTGGGGGATGGCACACTTCTGTTTTAGTTACTAACTGTTTGTATCAGGTGTTTCTAGGCTGGGGGCTGCATGGTTGGAAATAGTGTGAAATCTTTTCCATCCGGCAATATACTTCCAGTCTGATCTCAGGAAACACTAAAAATGCCATTTTCCCTTCTGATTTCCCAAAAAGGTAAGACTTTAATTTCGTACGTCAGAATTGGGTTTGAACTCAGGTCTGAGGGGCAGAAGGTCATTTCCCACTCTCTATCCCACCAGTTTGCCAGTACCACTCCTAATTATAATCACAAAATATCCCTTAATCCAGTGCACTTGACACAATGTTGTTTGCTTATTTTTCTCTTCTCTGAAAGACTTGTGACACGATTAAGGTGTCATGGATGTTGTTTCCCTTCTAATTCCTGTACAAGTGATTGCTCTTGCAACCTTGAGTCTCCTGTTTACTGTTTTAAAAAGAGTTTGTCCAAATTCCAGTCCTTTATAGGAAGGCTAAATGTTGATTGTTCCATGCACAGTAGTGATAGTTCCCTCATGAATACTTCAGAAACCTGCTCCACAAGACAGTGATAAAAATACATTTTTCAGCTAATTGAAAGCAAAGGTTAACCTGAGGCAGAGTTGCATAAAGTAAATTTGTGCAT